GGTCACTTCCCATCAGGCCTGTCACATACTCTGCACTCTCCCCCCCCCGGAAAACCAACAAAAACAACAACCTCAGACTTTCTTTGTCTGTCTTAGTTCTTTTTCCTCTGTCTTTTAATATTTTTTCAGTTTCAGTTCTGCCCACTTTTTCTACTTGAGTTTTTACCATGTCTGACTTTTTGCTAACTCTGTTCCATTTTTCTGTCCCTACCCTTGTCCTTTCTGTGATATCGCCTCAGTTTTTCCTTTGTTCTAATCTCTTCCATCCTACCTCCCCTTTTCATGGACACCTTTACTCATCTATCCTGAAAATAGCACATTCTTCCTTGACCCTCTGGGTTATCAGAGCTGCTTTAGAAAGGAAGGGGTGGGGACAGGGTGGTAGCCTGGAGGAGCCTGTGGATTGGTCTGACAGATTCTGCATCCAGATAATGTATTTCTTAGAGTATTTGGTTACTAACCAGGCTTGTCCAGTGTAGTGGCTCTGATCCTATCAGATTTCAAACAGGATGCTTTAAGAATATTGTATTCTCATTTGTGTTTGGAGGTGGGGAAGAAGGAGAAATGTCCAGCAGTGAGGACAGCAGCTAAGAGGACCATGTTTTCCACATGCCTTCAATTAAGACACTCATCCTGTTTTTGGAAAGCAGAATGTAGAAAAAAAGATTTTTCTCATGGCCCAGAGTGAACTGCATGTGCTTAACCTTTTCACAGCCTGAGCTGAATTGGCAGTAGCTTTTCACTGCTCAGTTAAAAGCTACTGTCAATTCAGCAGTGAGTGAGAGACAGTTAACTGTGGACTTTGCCCCTGTTGCTTTCTAGTTCAGAGAGAAGTGACAGCTATTGCAGCACCACATCTCTGCTTCTGTCCTGCTCTAGCAATGAAAACTAACTTTCCCTGCTTAAGACTTGCGCCCAAAATTTTGGAGGGTTGATTTTTGGGAAAGGGTGCATGTGGTTTGTCAGGGGTTGTCAACCAGGGGTATGTGTATCTCTGGGGATACTTGGGAAAGCCCTAGGGGGTACTTGTGGGCAGGCGGGGATGGAGCACTACCACCCTGCACTGCCATCTCCCTAGGAACAGGGCTGGCGTAGGGCAAGGGCAGCTGTACTCATCTGTGGGCCGCCCAGGTGCCTGGCCGGTTGGACATGGGGGGCGGGGGATAGGGGAACGTTGCACATGGCAGTGGTGGCAGCCACCATCCACCACCCTGTGGTGCCACTGCTCTGCATCTGGCTGCACATCCCTTGCCACCCCTCTGCACTCTGTTTCCAGCCATTGGGAGTACACTTATTAAAAAAGGTTGAAAACTGCTGTGGTATGTGAATAATACAGTATGTAGTTCCTGTGTCAACAAGCTCACAATCAAATCGGCTTAAAAAACATGCTGTAGGGTGCTTTTGTGAAGAATAACATGGAAAGATTCATCTTTGGTGCAAGTTTTTAAAAAGGGGGAAGGTAGCTTGGTGGTCAAGGAGGAGGAGTTAACTAACTGTTCTATTTATTTGCTACATGTACTTTCCTCGGTATTCGAATTTTGATAACCGAAAGATGGTCTGACTTAATTGAGGCTTCTGCATTTCTCTACTTGTACTAGAAATATATATAAGAGAAACAGATTGTAGCTTTGTTTCTGAAGTACTTGGTGAGATGCTGTTAAGTTGAATCTCGTTCCCAACAAGTAGCTGAAACAGCATTCAGTGGGCATGATGCACATTGTCTGGCAAAGCAATGTTTTTTCTGCAAAGTATGTTACATCATTGTTTAAAGCAACTTAAATAGAATCATGACAATATCAAAATCAGTGAGCATTTAAGGAAGTAAACAGTTTAATTTTAAGTTTATAGACACCTTTTGAGCTCATCTCAGTCTCTGTTGATGATGCTAATTACATTGTTTATCAAGTAAAAAAGTGTAGGAGGTATCTCTTGACAAAGAACAACAAGCTACTTTATTGTAACTAGAAATGAGTGGCAGGTTTATAATGGAACAGACTAAAGTTTACAATTGTTTCAGAATCATTTTATTATCATATTGATGAAACATGGAGACTGAAAATACCCAAAACTGTTTTGTTAAACCTTTGGTCACTTATTTTCCTAGTGAGTGAATGCAGAATATGTCATTTAGCTATTTGCTCACATGTCCATATATCTTTATTTACATGTCGGGTGTGGAGTTGTGCATGTGTTTTTTTGTCAGGTGAAAAGTTTAATATGTAAGCATTAAGTACCTACTATTTTTGCTATTTGGAATACCCTTAAAAACATTCCATACTTTTATGTAATCTCACTTACTTCTATTGAAAAATGAAAGCATCATTTTATTTAACCCTAAATTACATTGCAGTCCAGAATCTTTCAACTTTTAGTGACTTTCAATACTGACAACAGCAGACAAGTGACTTGGTCAGTTTTAGTTGCTGGTATTTCTCTCTTTGCATCATGTTTCTCCTTAGTAAGTATCTGTTCCATGCTGAACTCTAATTTTTAGAATGTATTTAATAAAAATATCTAGATTTTCATAAGTGGTTTGTGATTCTGGTTACCTAGGTACCCAAGCAGACACAGAAGGGATCTTATTTTCAGAGAAAGTATTTAGTGAAAATCAAAGCACTGAGATTGGCAGTACTTGATTTTTGAAAATCTTAGCCTTCATTGTTCTTTATTAGTGTCTGAAAAAATGCACTTTGATCCATGACTGTATAAATGTGACACCTTTGGTTTAATGCAGGGGCAGGCAAAATGTGGTCTGTGGGCTGGATTCGGCCCACAAACAGATTTGATCTGGCCGGCAGACAGGCAGCTGCCAACTTACTGGATCTGGCCAGCAGGTTCCAGCTGCTGTGTATTGCTGGGCAGATGGTCAGGGCTGTTTTCACTGGACTGGTCAGGTGGGTGGTACTGCTTCTGCTCTTGATGCAGCAGCATCAGCTGCTGGACCCAGATGGGGACTTCCACTCTGGCAGGCAAACAGTAGTATCAGCTGTGCGCGTAGCAGGCAGGTTCTGAAACCCAGACTTGGAACCTGCTGGCAGCACCCAAGGCTGACACCACCACCCACCTGTCATGGCGGAAGTCCCCATCTGGGTCCACAGCTGAGCATCAGGGTTCCTGGTGAACTACAGCTGCAGCCAGGTTCTGGAGGGAGGGGGAGAGACAGAGGCAGAGAGAGAGATGACCAAGTCACCAAAACTCATTAAGTGGCCCTCCAGCCAAAATAATTGTCTACCCCTAGTTTAATACCTGCTTTTGGCATTTGTGTTGTTGTAACTCTAAAAGATAGAATTGATGGTGTTTTGTATAACTTTGTTTTACAGTCCCAGAAATCCTGGATAGAAAATACTTTCACCAAGAGGGAATGTGTGTATATTATACCAACTTCAAAGGACCCCCACAGGTAAACTAGAATTTATAGAAGACTTCATTACATATGATTTAACTACTGATACAGAACGTTATTGAACTAACTATTCTTGAAACATGAATGTCATTGTCTTTTAATCTATAAAAGGGAAACCCTGATTTTTCTCAGTTTTGATGCTTAAGGTTTGTGAGACCTTTCAGACTTCAGTGAAAGTCCTCTGACGTTTCCTAATTTGATCATGTTACCTTCTTATCTTTGGTCCTGGTAGCAGGCAGAAATGGTTTATGTTATTTCTTGTTGCACACCTCTAAAGAATCAGAAAGCACTACAAAAGTGTACTTTAAGGGACTGATAGAAGAATAGTGTGTGAGAGCCTGCAGGGAATGCATTTTCATGCTGAAGATGTGGTATCTTGGAGATGGGGAGAAATAACCTGGCAGTGTTGCTGCAAGTGATAAGGAAAGCTATGTGGGGAAAAAAGAGAACACATAACAAGGAAGAGAACAGAATCCAAGGCTGAGAAAAGCTTGCTTCCAGAACAGACAATTCAGATATCAGAAAGTAGCATGAAGTATATCATCCTTCCCTCATTCAAACCCTCTAGGAGAAAAATATCAAAAGTGAAAAGATAAAAGGAAAAGTCAGAAATGGTAATGAAATGTCTAGAGGTGTTATGGGAATTAATTATGATGAAAATATGTTTAAGCCCAATCATATTCAAGAAAACATTTGGATGTGAAAAGGTATGATTTAGGGCATATAAAACAATAAAATCAGTGCTTTTTTTAACTTGATCTCTAATAATATCTAAACAAGATATGTGAAACTAAAAAACTTTCAGCTGAAAAGGTTGTGTCACATCTGGAACATCTTTTATGAGATTTGCAGGTGTGGAATGCCATAAAGACAGATGTAATTTAGCTGGGTTCTTAAAAGAGCTTAACTCATTGTGAACTTTGTTCCTAGCATCTTGCTGACTTACATGGCCATTAAATTCTGAACTGTGAATAAATTAAATCTTTTGTTATGTCATGTTATACGGCAATTTCTTCCAAAAAGTAAATGTAAAATATCTGTTATTTCTAATACTAGTGACAGTCCATAATAATACACTGTACAGGATCCCCAGCAGCATGAATTTTATTTCCTGGAATATTCAAGTTGAATAAAGGAAACTGACTGAGAAAATACTTTAGTCTGTGAAATGCATTGCAAATTATTCATCACATTCCTTGGAACCATAGGACCCTGGGAAGCTTTTAGAATTTATTACCATGATAGGATTGAGGCACACGGAAAGTTTGCAAATGTAAGCAGTGTAATTAGGAAGCTGTTAAAATTTCCAGAGCATTTCAAAAGGAACAAAATGATCGTTCAACACTTGTCTCAAAGTTTATTGTATAAGTGAATTTCCACATTTGGCCAATGGATTTAATTTAATTCTCCTTTGGACTTTTAAAAAATATTTTACTGTAATTCCTGAAATATGCATTAGGGAGTAAAATGTAAGGAAACCATGTTTTGGCTGTTTTGTTGAAGTTATTTTGTTTAGCCTGTTATATATGTCATTAAAAAAAACCCAACTACCTTGACAGCTACTTACGTTGAATATAAAATATTCAGAAAAAATTTATATTTGAATGTAGCCTCCAAAGATGGCAAAACAAAATGTATAGCTTGCTTGTATACTTCACTGTACTATCACACTCTTTTCAGTGTTCAGTATTATACGTTGTACTTTTTAGTGGGCATACACACAAATTATTTTTAATTTAAGTTTTATTTTATTGAAAGTTGCCTATATGTTAAGCCACAAGGTACAAAAGTGTAATCTTTATCTTTTCTATACCATAAATATGTTAATCTTAAGAAACTGCACAGTAAGAAAAGTTGAAAATAAATGTGTTTGGTGGAAAGTTAGTCACACATTTTCTATATTGATAATATATTTTTAATGTAATCTTCTGTAGGCACTATAAATGTTTAAAAATTTTAAAATACAATTTTGTTTTTTTTCCTTAGATGTGTTCCAGGATGTCAGATTTGTCAGCAGCTTGTCAGGTAAGCAGTTCTTTACTTGTTTTTAATAAAAATGTTTATGGTTTTGCCCATTATTAGTCAGATGGACTACAATGTTTTAAAATATTTTCATCAATATTAAGCATTTTTGAACAAGGTAGTCTTTAAGGTGCTCCCCTACTCTGCCTTCTATTAATATTACAATATGAGTATACATGTAAGTCTGTACAGAATACAGCCTCTGTGGAAAGAGAAGCTGTATGTAGTATGCAGGTGATTGTTCTAAAAATTGTATAGGGAAAAGGTAATTTAGACTAACATTTGAAGTAATAGTTAAATCTTGGCTGATGCTTATGTTCTGGCTACTCAGGGCTGCGTGAAGTTTGTCGCTGATTCGATCTGGTAGAGATTTGGCCTGATTCAGTGGCCAAATCTGAATAGAATTGGGATCTTTAATCTTTCCAAATTGGATTGGAACCCTCCGAATCAATTCGGAGAGATTCGATGATTCAGACACAGGTTTAAATGTTTTTTTCTACATACCTCAAGGTACCAGGCAGCTTGTGAACACTGTGATAGCGGGGCGGATGGAGCATCTCATGGGAGCGTGGGTGGGGGGTCCCCCACGCACTCGGTTCACTTCTGGGTCCACCATGGAGTGTGTGGGGGACCCCTGCCCCCTGGCTGGCCAACTGGTGCCTCCTGGGCCTGGGGGGTGGACACCCGGGGTCCCCCAGTGACCGATCGCTGAGCCAGGAACGGCGAGGGGGGTGGAGGTCCACCACTGAGCATCGATTTAGGGCACACCCAGATTAAAGACAATAAGTCCTTTTTTTTAAATACATCGGGGGCAAAAAGAAGGTCCCGGGTAATGTGGGGCCCTTGCAGGATGCGTTGGGAAATTTCCCAGATTAAGGATGATTTTTAAGCCCAATCATATTCAAGAAAACGTTTGGATGTGAAAAGGTATGATTTAGGGCATATAAAACAATAAAATCGATGCCCCCTGCGGGACACTACATCTGCCCTACCATCTCAGTGTTCACGAGCTGCGCCTGGTACCTTGAGGTATGTAGGAAAAACATTTAAAGCTGTGTCTATGGCCAAATTGCTGATTCTCTGATTCAGCATTGAATCTTCAGATTTGGATTTGGCTGAATTGAATCAGGACAGTGGTCTGAATCAACTAATCTAATCACTGTCCCCCAAACAAGGCTGAATCCGAATCGAATACAGCCCGCTTCCCACACCCCTACTAGTTTCATAGATTCTAGGGTCGGAAGGAACCTGAGTAGATCATCTAGTCCGACCCC